AAAAAAAAAAAAATATTCGTTTCAAAATTGAATTTCTAAATTCGATTATTATTCTACAACGTATATTCTATGAATTACGAATCATGTTTGTGAATAATCATGGATAATCGAATAGAGAGATATAAAAAGAATTGAAGAAAATTAACTGGGGAAATGGAAAGAAGAACGGAAAAAGAACGAATATAATAAACGAATAGGAAAGAAACGGTTGAAAAATACGAAGCTTGATTGATTGAAGCGTCTCGGTTAATAAATAGCAACAGTATGCAAATAAAATCAATTGTACGATCATTTGAATTTTAATTCGTTTCAAAATACAAAGTTATATTTGTCGTCACGGTATAGCGAATTGAACGCGCGTGTATCACTATTGCGCATGTACGGCCGATAAATAGAAATAATCGATGATGAAACGTTGTTGTCGGATCGTAGAGTACTAAACTCTAAGTAAAAATTTGATCGAAAAGTTGGGAGAAATCGTAAAAGTTGTTGTAAAATGCGAATCATTTAATCGGGGGAATTTTTGCAAAGCTACATCCTCGTAGTATATCGGTACAAGTGGACCGCCACAGCATCAGTGGAGGAAGTATATAAGAGCATTGTTCACTTCCTGTTTTGAATATCGAATTTACGAGCAAAGTTATGGGCCGCGCCCGCGAAATCTTTCCCTCCCAACTGCATTTCCTTTTCCCTTCCCTTGCCAGTTCTCCTCTCTGTTGAGATTCTAACTTGGCCCGTAAAACTTGGGTCGGAACTCGTCTTCGAAAGGACTTTCCCCTTAAGAGTTTCCAAGCAAGCAAGGAATACGGTAGAGGTGTCGTAAGAACGATCGTAAGATCCACGATTCGTTTTGCATTCCACGATATTCGCTCCTGTATCTGCGAGAAAATCGATCGTTCGAGTCATTTGACATGACAAGCCAAGTGAGAAAGACAGACAGAGAAGATGTATGTATATATATACGTCTATTGGCAAAAGCAAAGGCATGGAATAAAAGAAAGGAAGGCGAAGTTATGGATGAAAAGATCGAAAGAAAGAACGTTCGATAGTCTCTCTGCAAAAGTGATGTTTCCTTCTCGAGATAGGATGATGGAGCGAAGCCGACAAACGAGAGTCTTCTCTGCTATGGGTCAAAAGTCGAAGGTATCCCTCCGAATGTATATCTTGCACTCGAAGAAGAAATATCAACGGCCAACGTTCCGAATATAGGTTGCCGTTGCCACGAGAACTACCGATTCCACCTGATGTCGTCCATTGGCTTAAGCTTCATTTTCAGATCACGTACGCACCATTGCGCTAAGTTTCGCTCCTCTATTTCGAAAGCACCGGATGCTGAAATCACTCTCCTTCCAGTCTTTGCCTTCTTTTTCATTTCCTTTTCCTCTTTCTTCCATTTTCTACGTTTATTCTTATTATATTTTAACATGTTCGCGAATATATAGATGTTCGATAAAAATACGTATAAGCATTAATGCTATCATCTTTACTTTAAATAGTTTAATCTGTTGGTTAATTTTATATTGTCGGCTAATATCGACAAACTGTCAAACAGAATTTTTTTTCGTAACGTATAATTATTATAAAGAATCGATCAAATTTCGTTGATCAAAACGGAAAACAAAATGAATTTAAAGAAAATAATTTACATCCTGGTTTTATTTCGAGATAAAAAAGTTTAATTTAATTTTATTATTTTTTTTTTTTTTAAATTGTTATTTTATCAAGAGAAAAAAGAAAGTAGATGAAATTAACCATTTCGCGAATATTATTTTGTCCATTTCAAAAGATAAGCTACCATTTTCATGTTTTCACGATAAGATTATCGATAATACGATAGTTTATGTACGAATTACGCTTTCAGTTTCTATATACATCGATCGATATTTGATTATAGAACAAAGAAAGCTTATTCAATGTCAGTCGAATTGCGATCGAAATTCCCGGTCGATCACGAATACATTCGTCGCCGCTCGTAACAGTTCGTCCTAATTCGTTCTTTTCCGATTCTTTCCGTTTCTAATCGCTACGGTTCGGTGTTATCCGTCACTGTTCGTTATTACTCGTCCTTGCTCGACACCGTCGCCATTATTAGACGCCATTCGACCGTGAGACGTGCGTAAAATATTTTCATCTTAACCTCCTCAAAATTTCTTTTAAATCGAATATCCCGTCATCGATTTAGAAGAGGAAGAAGAGAGCGAAGAATGAAGTGGAGAGAAAGAATGCAGGGAAAATTGTTGGAGATTGAGGGGCGATCGACTAGTCACGAGTCGCGATTTACGAAAAGAGTAAACGAAGCAGAGCAGCGGCGTAAGAGGAGTAAGTAAATACGAGGTGAGGGTTGGAACGTGGAACGCATGTACACAACGAGGTCGTTCTCTAGCATCTATACGCGTATTCTGACTCACGTACAACCACGAACGAGAATATACGGGCGTGCGAACAAACTACAACGAACGAGGGGAACGTTCGGTCTCGATCGTGATTTCCGAATGCGCCTCTCTGTACAAACGAACCGTCCGACAACGTTGCTACGTTACAAGCACCAGCGACAGATACAGAACGGTGAAACAAAACGTCGAGCCCCCGCTAAGACGCCGACGAAGACAACGACCAACAACAAGGGACGAGGTAAGAGACGAGAACGATGACCCGAATTCTGTCGTAGAAAATCTACTGGGAAAATACACGGTTCATTGTGCCGAGCGGCAGTTTGACAAATTGTATATGTCTACAAAACCTACTTCTACCCGCTTCTCCCTCTCTGGCTGTTCTTTCACGAGTCCCTTATTCGCGAGACAGGTTCGCGTGCGCGCGTGTACAAGCATTGTCATCGAATAAAAAATGGTAAGTGCATAGACAGTTCGTGTCGACCAACCGATAAAGGAAAAGATGGAAGGCGACCGCACCTTCTTCTCCGAAACAAAGAATTCTAGCGGAAGTGACCGAAGTAATCGATTTGTGTGCATCGTATGTATATCTCGAATATATCTCGATTTAAAAGTTGATCGAATTAGTACCGAAAACTTGCGAACTCGAACATTCGATATAGTACAGTCGATGAAATCTTTCGATTTTCAGGTGCGAAATTTTTCAAATACTGTATGAAACGCTTTAACGACTAAACTTGTATCTCAATTTAGCGTAAATAATTTTTTTGTTCCCTCGATCTAACGTAACAATTAAACGATTATGTTATCGATTAACGTTTCGTCACGTGAATGTTAACGAAAAGAAGAGACGATTCGTCGATATTAACGACAGTATATTTTTAATCGACAGTTATCCGATTGCATAGAACGCTATTGGCGTTAGGTTGAAATTGATAAATCACTGGTTCACGTCGAATGATATCGAGTACGGGTACAGGATAAAAAGAGGAAAAGAAGGAATCAAAACAGCTGGCATGTCCCGTAAATTGATCGAAACAAAAAGTTCCTAAGCCAATTGATTCAATGGATTACACGTCGTTCATCGCTCTTTGCCTTTTTTCCTCCGTCTAAAAAAAAAAAAACAATTTGTTTTTCCAATATATTATTTAAACATTGAAGTTCAAATTCTTCATTCACATTTCTTATTTATTATTATGAATTAGATTAAATTATTTATAAGTAGATATGTAGCGAAATTTTTGTTAACTTTATAAATGATTTTTGCGCATTATGTAAACTTTCTAGTCGATAAACTCAACGTCAGGATTGCTTCCGCACGATTAAGACCGAAAGAGAGAGAGAAAAGATGCTAGAGAAGTTTGCTTGCTACGTTCTTTCCGGATTAACAGCGTATATTTGAGCCAGAGAGAGAGAGACAACGAAACGTAAGTAGTATGAGATGCGAAGCGTCCAGGATCGTCCAGGATCGTTTCGGACAGCGGAAATAAGAGAGTCGTGTTTGTCCCACGGAACGAAGGAAGGAAAAAAGGAGAAGAAGATGGAAAATGGGAGAGATGCCGGAAAAGAGACGGATAGAAGGCCGTGGATACGGACGTACGAAGTTTCCTGATCGTCACGATGGTCGTTTTCGTCCCGTTCGATCGATGGCCATAATTCCAACGAGTCGCGCGAATGGTGCCGATCGATACGGCAGATTTTCAAGCTTCGCTTGGTCCGTTCGCTCCGTTTGCTCGGGGCGTTCGCACGAAACGAGGGACACACACACATACACACACACACAAAGGGGCTTGGCTCGGAACTGTTCCGTCTCTGGACGGAACTGAACGAACTCGAGAAAGAGCGATACTTACCGGTTGGAAATTCGTGTCAATCCGTGGAATTAATAGCTCGCCGAACGAATTTAAGTGTCGTCGAGGTTCGTAGAAGGAAGGAGAAAGGAGCGAGGGAAAGAAAGTTGACGGTCTCCTTCGAGGAGAATCAAGAGAGTAAAGAAGTTCTTGGCTTGGCTGTAACTGGAAGGTTGGAAAAGTTGGAGAGAATGGG